CATCACCCTCGCAAGTGGCTGCAACGCCTGTGCAGCCTGTGAAAGTGCCTTTGTGTGCAAAGCAAAAACTGTTTCCCAAACAGCCCCCAACTCTTAATTAAATGTGTTGGGGAATTCCTGGAAGAAGCCCATGCTCATGAGGGCAAAGTTCAGAGTATATCGCAAGACACTGATAAGGGCATGGCATCAGCAAGAACCATCATTCACTTTATTTTGAGGGAGTTGCGCAAAGCCAGATTGAACGGTTGTGAGGCTGTGAGGTAAACAGCTTGAACAGTTGTGTCGGGTGAATGTTCAATTTTGACGCTGATAACGCTGCGAATTAAGGAGTGCCCCATCGATGAGCCGGACAGCGCTCGCTTTCGTGCTGCTGAAGCCTCTATCCGGAGAATGGCTCGAAAGAATCCCCGCACCAACCACCGCAAGATCCCCGAGCAAGTTGCGGAAATCTTTTTCAAGGGCGGGTCCCAGAAGAAGCAGTTGATCAAGATGTATTTGCAGTGCGGTGGTGACAAAGACACTTAGCAATTGTTTGGTGCATCACTTAAGGATACATAGCAATCCTTATCTATACCATGCATGGTTTTATTCTAAGGACAAGTTCTGCCGCAAGGCTGAGCTCTCCATTTCCAGGACTAAGAAGGGCACGGAGACTATTGCTGTTGGGTGGTGCTCTGAACAGAAAATGAAAGACGTCCTTCTTTTCCCTGCGCACCTCTTCTGAAACATAATGCTGAATTGCACTGACATATTGCAATGATTTTGGCAGGACATGATGCTTGTTTCTAAACTCAGGGCCCGGATCAAAGCTGTGGTCAAGTTCTGCACCCACCCATCTCGGATCGCCACCCATGTCAGGCAGGCCGTGCACCTGCAAGCAGTCTTAAATTTCCACAATTGTGAAACGTGTCGGATGGGGGCCGTGCAAGGCGTGACAAGTACCAAAGGGAGATTCGGGAGTATTGGGTGGAGCAGGGCACATCTGGCACTTTGGAGCGCAGCATGGCCCAGACCTTCACTGCAACGCTGCAACATGAAGATGCGCCTCCTGACCTTTTGATGGATGAGCCTGCTGATAACCCCATCCCATTTGGTTTTGGCAACAACCCGCATGAGGAATCAATCCAATCTGACGAGGGGGAGAACAGCACGGATTCTGGTGGCAGTGATGTCTCCAGCCCCCCCAAGAAGCGCAAAGGAACCAGCAAGGCCCATCAAACCGCTAAGAAGGTGCAAGTTGAGGAGCCTTTGGAGGCCGGGGCCAAAAAGGGAAAATTGCAAGCCAACATACCGTATATTAACATACCGGCTGAACAGCAGTGCAGGATGTCGAGAACGTGGAGACTATGTTGGCACAGATCTTGAAAACGGACGCCAAGCTCCAGCAGTTGGTCCCAAAGCTGGATGCTATGGGCTGCCCTGAGAGTAAGATGCACCTTGCCTTTGATAGGAACACAAAACCATGAAAGGGTGCTGTGCCAAAGGGACTTTGCTGGTTTCCTGGACTCAGGTCAGCTGCGGCCATCTCAGACCAGCGGAAATCCCTCATGACCTGCCACGATGAGATTGCTTCGGTGAAGGCCCAATATGACGCTGACAAGGTGCTGAATCGGGAGTCCCGAGGCTTGATTGGTTGATGGGGGAAGAGAAATTGGATTGATAGCGTTGTTGCAAAGACTGTGCCACCCTAGGCAGAAGAACAAGCTCAAGCCTATATACCCCCCTTCCCCCCTCCATTTGGCACCTTGTCGGGCTGCAGTCCAACCTTGGCAGTGGCAAAGCGAGGTGTTCGAAGGCTGTCATGGAGGAGAACAAGCTTCGGAAGTGGGATACTTACAAAACTTGCGCAATGCAGTAAATGTTGAGGCCATTGGGATTGTTCATTGTGAGCGGCCAATTAAGGACCATCCTCAAGCCGGTCAAGAAAGCCGGTGCAAAGGGTGCTTGCAAGCAGGCGGTGAGGAAATCATCAGAAAGTGCTTCACCGGCAAAGCCATCCAACAAGCCCGCAAAGTCGGCGGCCAAAAAAAAGCCGGCTAAGAAGAAGTGATCGGGTGTTTTTCGCCCCGTGCCGCCAGCGCACGGCATCCGATTCAATTGTGTGTAACACGTTGCCCTTTGCGACACATAGGAATTTCAATGAAAGAGTTTGAGTCATCAACAATCAACGCACTGCTGTCTAAATATGTGATCAATTGTTTACAAAGGAGGGCACCGTGCCTAATCTGCATGGGGTTGCTCAAGTGGCAATAGCTGCTTGTGGTGGTGCACACTGTGCACTTTGGGGCTGCCAATTCAGGGCTCTTCATTTGCACCTAGCGGTTGGTTGAAAAACTGATGTGCAGCCTTGCGTTCCTGCCAGCACCATCAGTTGCAGTGCTGCCCATTAACCTTGGGCCCCCTGCGCGCAGGTCCCAGCAAGCGTGCTCGCCAAGCTGGTCCTGCGGCGAAAGCGCTGGCCAATGCTACATGCAAGGGCGTGGCTTGGGCAAAAAATAGCATTGAATTAATAACTCGAGAGCCTTCACGTGGTGGGTGGGGATTGGTCTTACTTTTTGATTGAGGGTCTCCACAGCTTGTGGGAAAACATTGCCCCTGAAGGTTGCCCAGCGACATGTAGCTGCTATTGCTCATGGTTTCTGGCAAGAACTGGAGGCAGCTGGTGCCACTGATCTTCCACTTCAGAGCTCGGGCTTTTTGAAGTTGATGGACCGGGCTTCAATTCAACATCTCGGCATGAAAACCGATCAGGTGTTTACTTTGAAAGAGAAGGCCTCAAGCTGCCCATTCCCCTTGAGATGAAGGATATCGGCCTGCCTGACCTTCACCCCTTTTTGCCTGTGGAAGGAATTCTCCGCACCATGGCTTTGCGTGAGAAGTTGTCTGTTTGCCTCTTTGGCAGTGGTGGTTTTGAGCAGCTCGCCCTCTACTGGCAAAGGTTTCAGACAGTTTGCCCTCAGTTCAAGTTGTTCCATGATCGTGACCCAACTGAGCTACGTCGATGTTTGCCTGTCTATTTGCATGCTGATGAAGGACGCTACTTGAAGCGTGAGCAGGTGCTGGTCCTGAACTGGCAAAGCGCCATAGGCCATGGCACACGGGCGTTCCATGAAGGGCCAGCCTCAGTCACAAGCGGCGCCCAGGGTCTCAACTTCATTGGCCATTCACTGACCACCAGGTACCTCATCACCGTTTTGATCTCCACTTGCTACAGGAAGAAGAAAAAACATGCTGGTGTGTTTGACCAAATGGTTGAAGTGGTGGTGAAAGAGTTTGAGGGTCTCTACAAAAATGGCGTTGAGATTCAATTGCCGCAGGGTCAGGTTACAATCTTTCCAGTGGTGCTGGGGCTGAAGGGTGATTGGCCTATGCTTTCCAAGATGGGAAACTTTAACAAGAACTTTTTGAGGCGAACAGGCGGGGGAGTATGCCACCTGTGCCTTGCTGGCACAGAAGGGGTGCCGTATCATGAACATGATGACCAAGCTGCTTGGATCAACACTCAACTTCAAGTTCGCCCATGGAACAGGGAACCAGCTATGTCAAGGCTTTCTGGCTACGAAGCGCCTGAACAGTTTTTCAAGCACGATCTATTCCACTGCTGCCACAAGGGCATATTTGCCGAGCTTGCTGGGAGTGCTTTGGACCCTTGTCTGTGTTTGTGAGTTTCAAAACGTGGCACGTACCTGTTGTGGGGGTATGTTTGACTGTTTGCTGTTTGATGTGATGAGTGGGTGATATAAGGTGGTAATGCTGGACTTAGATCTGGTTCCTCGTGGAGATGTAGCAAGCCGATTAAAGAACATCTTCGACTCCATGGGAGCCTTTTGCAAGTTGAACTCAATCCCGCTCCACATGACCATGTTGACGAGGGCACTGCTTGGATACCAGCGTGAGTGTGATTACCCAGCTGGGAAGCCTGGCTGCATGAAGTCATTAGCATCATGAAGTCATATATAAATTAAAGTTTGTTGAGACTGCTGAAGAAAGTTGAATCTCGCTAAGGGTGTGGTTCAAGGGAGCTGACACTTCCGCAGTCCCCTTGTACCTGGAGCATGCCTTCCAAGAAGTTGAGCCAGAACCCGAGTTTCAAGCTTACTGCACCTGTATCTTGGCTGCCTGCAAGCACGCTGGGGGGTTCCTGAAAACCGTCTACCATGCTGGTCTTTGGATGACGCGTTTGCAAGCCAAACGGGCTGTTTATGACGGGTTTGCCTTCCTTCAAAAATACAGCCAATGCGCGCAGATCGCATTTGCAAATTCCAAAACGCGATTTAAATTATCACCTAAGCTCCACGCATTTGCCCATTTAGTGGTCGAGCTGAAAGCTCACTTGGGGAAAGTGAAGGGGCTCAGCTGCAACCACTGCATCCCTTCCCCTTTGGCTGAAAGCTGCCAAATGGATGAAGATTTTGTAGGGCGGGTGAGTGCCCTTGCCAGGACCTCACCGCCAGCTTCTGTGCATAAGCAATGCATCAACCTTTTCCTCATGAGTTTGCACCAGCAGTGGTGACCCCAAGATGGACCTTGAGAACCATGCATTGGCTTCAGGTTATCAAATCTATAGATCGGGGGTCACTCGTGGTGAGATCTCTTGGGATTCCGGGGTGTCCTGCCTGAGCTGGTGGGCGCTATGCCCCCCTGCGGGTGCAGGAAGGCAAGGTGTGGGCGGTCATCGAGCCAAAACGGTGCTGGGGCGGCCGTGCAGCACTTTCATATCGCACGACTGTTTTGCCAGTTGGGTGGAAATCATTCAACTTTCGTTGGTTGCTGTGTTTTTCTCGCAACTTGGTTCTCTAGGTATAAATCGGGATAAACAGCTACATACCAACATAGGTGATCTTTGGAAAAATAGATGGCCCTGACAAATGGAAGGCCAATGGAACCTATCTGAACCGGGGCCATCCCTTTCTAGGCAAACAAACCTACAAAGAACAGCTATGGCTACCAACCGCGTGGATTTTGATCCTCTACGGCTTCGCGGTCCGTCGCCGAGTTGCGGCAGCACGGCAGCGCCAGGGCGCGGTGTGGCGCCGTGTCGCTGCAGAATGCCTCCCAGCCGCGCAGGGACCACACGTACAACGCCTGGAGGCTCGGCTGGTCGGCCTAAGTGGACCAAAAAAAACAACAACATAATTTGAGTACATCCTTTGAAGGGAAACTGTGGACATTCGAAGGGAACCCAGGGACCCAATAGAAACGAAAGAGACCTCATGAAGGCATATTCTCTGAGCCTCAACGCGTGTTGTTTGTACCCTTAAACCACCAAAAAAACACAAAAAAACAAACGGGATGCTTGGACCTTTGATCTCGAACTCAGGCCAGGTGGCCGAGAAGGGCCACAGGATCCCCTGCTTGACGGCTGCTTGAACCTTGGGTTGGCCATGGCTGCGACTCCACGAAGAATCAAACTCATCTTGCTGTCCCCCGGGTGCGTTTGAGGGGCCCACCGGCGCACCGGGTTGGTTTAACATATCGTTCGCCCAAGCCAGAAGTCTCCTTTTCGTGGGTATGGTCACCTCCTTTTGGTTTCAAGCACGGAGCTGGCTGTTCACACCAGATTTGTCCAACCCCCGGCGCCTCGCGGCCGTACGCCCGGTGCAGTGTCCGGCAGGCTGCAGGCAAGGCAAAGAAGGCGTCCCGCACGTTGAGGTGCAGCAGGACTTCAACCAGAGGCCTCGGAGGTTTCCTTAACATCCCACCAGCAGAAGGTGCAACGGCTGGCTGGTTCTGCGCCAACAGTTGTGGAGTGCATGTGTGTGTGTGTGTCTCTTTTTTGTGTTTTTGCTGGGGGGGTGGGGGTGGAGTTGGACAACGCACATGTGCTCAAAGTTCAAGGTGCAACATCCAAACCACATAGCAGCCAGCATGTCAATGCTTCGCTGAAGGCAGCCAAGTAGCTGCAGCAAACGCAGCTCCGGCTCTTCGGGCTCAAGCTCTAAAGCCAAGACCTGCGGCTAGCGTCCCTTGACGTCTTTTGTGGATCCATGCTAACCTGCAGACGTGTGAGCTGGACTGAATCGATTCTGATGAGCACTGCTACCATGCCACGTACTGTTCATTCAGCCTCATTCGAGGGGCTCAGCGACCTTCTGGGTTCAAATTGCAGTGTCCTGCGCCCTGTGCATGGCTCATGTTCGTGTGGTCCAAGCCTGATGCGGCCAAAGCTTCAACACAACCCAGCCCATCCCTATACCAGCCGGGTGGAATTTCCAAGCAATTGGCTTAGTGCCTGTGTCTGAATGTGGACGGCGAACAAGTTGAACTGTTGGCAAGACAAAATCACAACGTAACGCACGCACGCACGCACGCACGCACGCACGCACGCACGCACGCACGCACGCACGCACGCACGCACGCACGCACGCACGCACGCACGCACGCGCACGCAGGCACGCAGGCACGCAGGCACGCAGGCACGCAGGCACGCAGGCACGCAGGCAGGCACGCAGGCACGCAGGCACGCAGGCACAGGCACGCAGGCGCAGGCAGGCACGCAGGCACGCAGGCACGCAGGCACGCACGCAGGCACGCAGGCACGCAGGCACGCAGGCACGCAGGCACGCAGGCACGCAGGCACGCACGCACGCACGCACGCACACGCACCCACACCCACACACCACACACACACACACACACACACACACACACACACACACACACACACACACACACACGCGTGCGCGTGCGCGTGCGCGTGCGCGTGCGCGTGCGCGTGCGCGTGCGCGTGCGCGCACGCGCCGCAGACGCAGACGCAGACGCGACGCAGACGCAGACGCAAACGCAAACGCACACGCACACGCACACGCACACACACACACACACACACCCACCCGCCCGCACGCCCGCGCGCGGGCGCACGCACGCGCGCACGCACGCACGCACGCACGCACGCACGCACGCACGCACCCAAGCAAGCACCCGCACCCGCACCCACCCCCACCCCCACCTGCACCCACACACACACAACCACACTCAAACACGGGTTTTTCCTCACAAGGCCTTGATGTTCATTATGTGGGCCTATTCCCAAGCAAGACATAGGCTGAACATCCATATGCAAGGACAAACTCGTGACTATCCCCTTGCACGATGAAATCCCTGGGGTGGCCTTTGACCCACAAACGAATCAATACATACAACTTCTGATGGTAAGTGAGGGGAGGTCATTTTCAACAAATTTAAAGGGCTGCCCTTTCTCCAAGTGGACAAGGAGCCTTTGCCAAATGGTATGTAGTCTTCAAAACCCCGGACCGCCTCCACAATTGTTGGAAAAGGGCGAGGAATTGCCTACGCTCTTTTTTTGAAGGTCCAACACAAGCAAAGACCTCCTTCGATGGCGCCTCGGGCGCCGGGTCCAAGCGCAGCCTGCGAACCACGTAGGCCGCTGCAAAGCTGCAGGTCAGGCCGCACAGTGGTAAGACGGAGCTTCTGGGAAACCTGACACGAAGCGGCTCTCGAGAGAACCCTTCTGATGGAATAACAAATAACCCCTGAAAGGCTTTCTTGGATTTAACAGTGTTGTCTTTATTTGGGGTCTCCGCCTAACGCAAGGACTTAGCCAATGGGTTTGGGGCCTGGCGGGATCTGAGAAGGCTCCTTGGGCTGTTGGGTCCCGATGCTCCTTTGAAACCTCCGAGCTAAAGGCTGACGCGGCGAAACTGAGCCAACATCGCTGGTTTTGTAACCAGGTCAAAGGCTGGGCTGGGGCCCTCTGGTGTTCGCCTCGTGGCTGGCAAAAGCTAGCAGGCAACACATGAGGCCAACAACAAGTGCATCAGAGAAGCACTGGGCTCCAACGTTCCCGAGACATTTTGAAAGCAAACGTCAAAGTGTCAACTTACGCGTGCCATGGTTGTCATTGACAGTTGAGAGTTCAGCTCGCCAAGCCCACAAAATTGCCGTCCTGCCCATGCTGAAGATAGACATGAGGACCCATGGGGCAATTGGGATGCCGGCTTGGTGGCACAACATTCGTTTGCCGCGTGCATCTGCATCGGAACTCCTTCATTCCGTTTACGATGCTTACACCTTCGTGTGGAGGTGCGATAGGTGCGCTGCGCCTGGTGCCGGCTATGGGGCATTTCTCGATCGGGTGGGCTTTGCCTTGGGTTTTGCTTCTATGAGTTGGCGGCATGTAAAGCAGATCCGGTCAAGGCCATCAAACAATCAAGCTTATGCCGATGGCAGTTTCACAGAACAGCAAACCTTACACACAGATTCGGCAAACCGTGCTTTGAGAACAGATGAACTGCAATAGCGGCAAGGCAATCGCACCCGGCAAATGCAATATCAGCAGTTATCAGGGCCAAGTGGCAACTGACTAAGTGGCGGCATACACGATCATCAAGCGATCTCCTGTTGCTGGATCGGGGTCATTGGCTCCACTTTGGCTGGGGAAAGGTTCCCCAGCCAAATGTCTTGAGCCGGACATGGGAGCATGATGCAGTGGCGGAACGCAACGCCGTGTGATTAAGCTTGCTTCACGGCAGCAGGGTAAAAGTTCGCCGAGCTGGGGATGAAGTTGTTTTCACCCATCCACGAGGGTTGGAGAGCAGCTTCCAAACCAGGGGAGCTCAAACAAGCCATGCTGCAATGCCAGTCGAATGATGCATGCTCACGCCGGATTGTCGCAAAGCATGTGAGCCCCAAAGTGGTGTCATTTCGACTTCCCCTCAAAACAATCAAATAGGGGTTCACTAAGTGCTAAGTACTACCTACCCTCCGAAACGACGGTGTCCAGATTCGTCCGAAACAAACCTTTGAAAGAAAAAACGGAAAAGCGCAATTCCACAGTCCCGAGTCTAGGTCACCAGCCTGCCGCATTTCTGCCACAAGGCGCCTCAGCCAGCCGAAGCCCTGCGATCTTTCTGGGCGAATTACTCGCCAGGGGTTGGCTCCCCATTCTTCCCAACCATCTGCACAAAGCTATAAACTACAATGAAAACTTCACAAACTAAATATTCGGAATGCTCAAGCAAGCAACCTGCGTCGGGGGACCAGTTAGCTAGGTACAAATTGCCCTTGCTTTTTAAATAGGCTTTGATGAATTCGGCCAACAGCCAGCCGAATGCAATGAAGGAATTCAAAACGATGAGCCTCTGACAAGGGGCGACACTTAAACATGCTCGACTCTGGCAAGAGACGGGGGCCCGACTGTAGATGCACCTGAGGGGCAGGCGTTCATCTCGCTAACTCATCCACACTATATAGGTTTGACCTGAAGGTGATTCCCGCCAAACTGCCAAATCGACGTTCTAGTGGGGCAGCCACCGTCAGCAGGAGGTGTACGCAACCAGCCCTCCATTCAAAATCTATCAGAGGTTTATGGTCCAGCTGCCAGTAGTGACTATCGCCTTTTCTCCGGCACGCGGCTACTTGCAAAGATGCCAAGGCCGACCGCGCTTCCTGGGCGCTTGGAGACATTTCCCGATCATCCCATGCTTCCGCGCCAGTGGCCAAGGCTGTGAGGTTCCCAACCTGGCAAAAGGCAACTGTGGCTCGGACAAGGTCCCACCCAAACCCCATTTAGCAAACGAAAACACGGCCAAAACCTGCAGTCACCCATGTCTTTAATCTTGGGCCACTCTCAATTGTGTAGTCTGCCCTTTGCCAGCTACGACCCATCTGCCAAGGGCATGAGGTGGCTGGAAGAAACGACCGCCTCTCTTGCCACAGGGCGGCGGCTCTCGTCCAAAGCCGCGCCCGGCTTGGCCTTGCCCGCCAAGGCCAAGGCGGTGCCCGCGGCTTCCTCGCAACGGCCCACGCCAATGGCGAGGAGATCCAAAACGCAGCGCCTGAGATCCATCCGGCTCCAACTCAGGCGGTGCCAAGTTGCCAAACACAAGTGGCCCTCTTTCAACGCGAATATGCATGGCCTCACCTGCCCAAGGACCTGGACACGAATGGATAACCTTTTGGGACCTTGACTAAAGATACAAAGGGAAACCCAAAAAATTACCCACCTGTTCAAAGGTCCTCTCGTTAGAAGGGTGTCGTACCTTTAAACGAGCACCGTGTGTTGCCGAAACAGAGGCGCCATTGCAGCGCCTCAGCGCAAGCCTTCAGCGTGGCTTGCCCAGCGCCCAGCGGGATTTTGGGCGCCTCCGATTCGCGGGCCGCGTGCTGCAGTCACACCGGTGGGAAAAAAAAGGGGGAGGATCCCCAAGCCGCAGTGGAGCATCACAACAGAATCACAAGCGGCAATCCGGCATAAGGACTGAGGATTGATTTGGAAAAATCCATGCAGTAGGTGCAGCGAGGGTGGGGTCAAGGCCGGCACTGGGCAAGTAACTTGAGCTCTCGGGGCGAGTAGTCAGTCTTATACATGCCGTCTTTCCTCAAGTACTATGTTGCTGTGAGCTGGTTTGTCCCTCAGCTTTCTGAGCATATTCGATGCATTTGCTGTACTAAAGTGCGATGGATGTGGGCGGTAGGCCGTGGGTACACTAGAATGAACTATGCAAACAATTCCGAGCCCCAAAAACCTTTGCGAACGGTTGCGAGCGATGCTGTTGTGAACCCACCACCCCCTGTTTTTGGCAAAGGGGATGCAAAATGGTGCCATCCAATTTCATTGAAATGCATGCTTGCTTCTCACGGATGCCTTTAACGTTGACCCCAGGATTAATCAACCTGGGGGATTAACGGGGGGGTCCATCCAAATTGTGCCTTATGAGGTTCTTAAGGGGGGATGTAAAGAGGGGGGGGATAAATGGGGGTGGACTAGGGAGCCCCAGAAAGCCCAGGATTCAAATCCTGAACCCACTAGTCTCTTCGCAAAGCACGCCGTCCTTTGATCGTTCTTTATGCAACCCAACTTAAGCTGATTGGTCCGATTCCTATTCTTGGGGCTTCCCCAGGCTTCCCTAAGGCTCCCCAAGCTTCCCTTCCCTAAGCTTCCCTAAGGCTCCCAAAGCTTCCCCAAGGCTCCCTAAGCTTCCTGAAGCACGCCCTAAGCCTCCCCAAGCCTCCCACTCAATTTCAGAGTTTCCGCAAGCTTCCCTTGCCCTCCCCTTTCAAACTGCATTCCCGCTGAATTGTGGGTTGGCCAGCAGCGCTTGCAGCTGAGGGGGTAAAGCCATCGTTTGTCCCAACCCAACATAGCCACAATCAAAGCGAAAGCGCGGGAGCTTAAGAGAGCCTAAGAATCTTTTTGGGAGGGAGTGCTAGGGTTGGCTAAGGAGCTCTAGGAATTGCTAGGCAAGGTTGTACTTATTTAGGGGGTTCCAACTACCCCCTCCCCTTACACCCCCCCTCCCTTAAGAACCCCATGAGTGCAGGATTCCCTAACAAATGAGACTCCCTATCATAAGTTGTCCAAAACGTTTGAATAAACAGAAAACACAAACACGCACATTGTGGGTCGTCCCGCCAGTGTGAGCCACACCATCATGCGCTTGAGTTTCCAGGGTCCCCGCTATGGAATTCTAGGGCTCAAAATCCCCCTCACAATAAATTATAGAAAGAACCCGTACTTCATGACCCTCCACAAACCTGGCGCCCGCCGCTCGAGTGACAGACAAGACTTCAGCCGGACGGGTGGGCCCCATCCGCTCCGCGGCATCCGCGTGCCTGCGCCAGGCTCCACACGGCCGCCGCCCACGCCCTCTGCTTGGCGCAGGCCGCGGCGGAAGCCGCGAAGGCGGCCGGGTGCTGCGTCAGGCGCAGAAGCTGTTGCAAGGGCAAACCCACCTGGCCAGTGGCCCGTGGTTCGTGGCCGGAATCCGGAACAAAAAAACGGGCCGGACCCCTCATGTACTTCCTGGAGGTGTGGAGGGGTCCGCAAAAATCCACTGAGGCATGTTCATCCACATCCCCGGACCCTGACCCCTGGAGGAAACAAGTGCCCCCCCCATTTCAATGTCCAACCAACCCGGAACGTGACCCGACCAACCCGGAACGTGACCCGGAGCCGTTTGCCACACCAAGAAAAAATTGGCACGGGGACTGTCCCCAAATTCTTCATCTACCAGGGTGTTGATTGTGGCTCGTCTGTCCAAACATGAGCCAGCTTCAAAAGGCGGGAAGGCGGGGACTCTTCTGCTTACCGAAAAACAGCGGTCTGCGTCACAGGTGTCGGTGGATTTCCTGAGGCTAAAGTCGGGGTGACCCAAGTTTGTTATTGTCATTTGTTGTTGTTTCTCTTTTGTTTTTGTTTTTGGGCGCGGGGGGGCCTAAATTGCTAAGTTGGGGACCCAAGGCTTCTCCTTTGTAAGGCAACGGTCTTCCCGGACCCCTCAATCGAGCACACAGGCAACGTTGGACAGGAGGACAGGAAGGCACCTTCCCTATTTCCGAAATCCCCCCAAAAAAGTCAAAAGAAAACCACATGGGCAAACTGGAAAAGACAAACGCCCTTCGACCGGCTTTCGCCTCACAGGCGCTGATCAGGCTGTTGTAGGTCACCTTTTCAGGGTCTGGCCACGCCCTTCTGAAAAAAACGCGGTCAGAAAACCATGCAAACTGACCGTTCAACCACCCCACCTCCTTTCCCCCTAAACAGCAAAAAGCAAAAACCAAAACTACCTCCGTCCCCCTAAGCTAGACCGAGCTGTGTGAGACACCCCCCACAAACATCCAAACGACTTCAAACACCAAACCTCTTGCTTTCCCTAAGGTCAGCGAAATTGGCGCATTTGATCCCCTGGGCCAACGTCTTTCGGCCCGTTTGCATGAGCATGTTTCCCAATTCCATAAAGTCAAAGCTCAACCGAAAAGGGGACGTTGACCAACAAACACTTGGACCAGAAGGGAACTTTGTTTCTTGTGGGGCCAAAAGCAAAAGGTTGGCCAAACTTCAACGTGCCCATGGTTTTACGCCACAGCGAGAGCGCTTCGACACGCACGATCTCCGCCGCAGAGGGTTCGAGACAAAAACGAATTCGCACGGCGCCACAGCGAGAGCGCGTCAACACGCACGATCCCTGCAGAGGGTTCATCCACGCACCGCAAAAACGCCAAACAAAAACGAGTTTTTGCACCTCGACCACGCCGATCCCCGCAGAGGTTCGCGCGGGCAGATCAGAAATCGAAAATAACCTCGAGTTTTGGCACCTCGACCCCGCCGATCCCCGCAGAATTCGACGAGGTGGACCCCGACACCCGTGTACTCACCGGAAACCCGGATGTCTCCGTCGAAGGATATGTCCTCACCCCCGGGTCGCGCGGGCAGATCAGAAATCGAAAAAACCTCGAGTCTTTGCATCTCGACCACGCCGATCCCCGCAGAGGGTTGCGCGGGCAGATCAGAAATCGAAAAAAACCTCGAGTTTTTGTACCTCGACCACGCCGATCCCCGCAGAGGGTCGCAATCCCGATCGACGATCAAAGTCCTGCCCCGGCACCCTAGAAAACTAAACTTAACTTACATAACTGCGAACGCAAAAGCGCTATGCACTTGGCTCTATGCACTTGGCTCTATGCACTTGGCTCTATGCACTCGGCTCTATGCACTTGGCTCTATGTATTGGACTCTGCGCAAGTGACTCAACGCAAGTTGGTCCGACAGCTCCGCGCGGAAGAACCCTTCGCGATGCTTTCGGGAAAAAGAAGAGCAGCAGCGATAGATTCCCTTTAAACCCAACAGGGAAAAATGAAAATATTCCTAACCAAATGGAAGTTTCTCTCCAACAACCTC